ATTCAGGAACAATCAAACAAACTAAGCAAGCCATAAAAGTGCTGCCAAGCAGCTCCTTGACTATTAGGTTCAACAGAGTAAGCAAACCCAGTGTTGAAATAGTCTCAGTTAAATATTTCCTGCTTCACATCCCTCTCGTTTTCAAACGCACATGAAATAATTGCCTTTTATTGCTGAAAGAAGTGCTTAAGAGAAGGATATTTCCACTGCAAAACCTCCTATCAGAGAGGGATGAAAGCTCTGACAGAAGTTAATACTTGTCCCAAATTTTAAGAGTATAGTCACTATTTCCCCTTTTTAACGTGTGTATAATAGCAAACCATCAAGCCATTTCAAGGCAGACAGGGAAGCCTACCCAAGGGAGCAATGCCAGGTTGGCTGCATTACACTGCATCCCCCCTGGCCTCCTAAAGCCCGTAATGCACCTCTGACACCCAGCCCACAGCCGCCACGTCCCAGGCCCTGGCTTCTTCATTTCCTGACCTCAGCTGGTGAGAAACGTTCAATACCCACTGCAACTCCCTGGTCTTCAGCTGTGGTGGAAGTAATCCATAAACATCTCCTACTAATCTTCTGAGGCTATTGCAGTGTTTGCACTAAATCTTTAGAGATCTTGGGGTGATGGATGTAAATAAGATTTATCCTGTACTAAAGGCAATTTCTGCCAAGACATATATCAATAATTTACAGAATTACAATTAGCCTGCAAGTAAGTACAGTGAAGACCAGCAAAATAAGCACTTAACAATATAATGAAGGTGACAACACTAAATTTACTATGCATCAATTAGTCTTTTTAACCTCTGTTGCAGCCGTTTATTATTAAAGAAATATGAAGCTCCAGTGACACAGATGTGAAACGAAGTCATCCACTGAAGACACTAAACCCCAAGGTTATGTTACTGTAGATGGCACTAGCAAGGACAGAATTAAACGTGTGAAATGATTGCAGGTGCACGTTGAAGTATCAGTTTATTGCTTTTCCTTATTATCTGTGTAGTGTTTAAAGAGGGGTGCTGTTTTGCTCATCATGGACCGCTGCACGGATGAGGACCCGCACAGCACGATTCACTTGCAGCCATGCACGCAGCGCCGCAGCTGAATCTGTTGGCTGCAGACATCTGAACTCTGAGACCAGACTGAGACCTTCTTAGGGCTGGACTGAATTATTAATACCTGTCTGGTATCACATCGCATGTCAGGAGTCAGAGGCACCTTTTGGATATTCTCCTACCATGCTGCAGAAGAAACAATACTTGAAATCAGAGAGGGGGTTATCCACCACGCTCCCGTAATGCTTAGCAGAGCAATCCGGCTGCACCTGAAACGGCTCTCGGCTATCCCACGTGGATGAAAAGCTAGACATGAGCCGGCAATGTGCGCTGGCAGCCCAGAAGGCCAACCGTACTCTGGGCTGCATCAGGAGAAGCGTGGCCAGCAGGTCGAGGGAGGGGATTCTGCCCCTCTACTCAGCTCTGGTGAGACCTCACCTGGAGTACTGCGTCCAGCTCTGGAGCCCTCAGCACAAGAAGGACATGGAAGTGTTGGAACGGGTCCAGAGGAGGGCTACAAAAATGATCCGAGGGCTGGAGCACCTCTCCTATGAGGACAGGCTGAGAGAGTTGGGCTTGTTCAGTCTGGAGAAAAGAAGGCTACGGGGAGACCTGATTGCGGCCTTCCAGTACCTAAAGGGGGCCTATAGGAAAGATGGGGAATGTCTTTTTAGTAGGGCCAGCTGTGTTAGGACAAGGGGAAATGGTTTTAAACTAGAACAGGGTAGGTTCAGGCTAGAGGTAAGGAAGAAATTTTTTACAATGAGGGTGGTAAAACACTGGAACAGGTTGCCCAGAGAGGGGGTGGAGGCCCCATCCCTGGGAACATTCAAGGCCAGGTTGGATGGGGCTCTGAGCAACCTGATCTAGTTAGCAGTGTCCCTGCTCACTGCAGGGGGGTTGGACTAGATGACCACTAGTGGTCCCTTCCAACCCTAAACATTCTATGATTCTATGATTAAAGCTGATATGACAAGGCTTCTTCCCACTGGCAAACCCCTTAAAGAGTTGTTTAAAAAGAGCGGTCATAAACCTTTGAAAAAGCAGTTACGTTACTTTTACATGTGGGGAAAATCCTTGGAAGTAGAAAGAAAATTCCTATCAAAGCATCGTCGAGCGTTGCCAGGTGAATAGCAGCTTTACTCTTCTCTAGGCTGAACTCGCTGCAGTGCTCCATTTATTTCACAGGAGCACAGCAAAGTTTAATTAGCTCCTTTTCAGATACTTTTAGGATTTCTGGATGGAAAGCATTAGGAGTGCCCACAGTACACAAAGAACCGGGTCTGTGTTACGAAGCGGTGAGCAGGAATACTAATTCTGAGCAGCATCTGACCACGTGAACGCTTGAGGACAAAGCTCATTTCTGAGCTGGAATGAGCACTGGGAGCAAAGTGCCACAAAACAGCTCCACTCTGAACGTGGGAAAAAAAAAAAAAATCCAACTGTCTTTCCAGAAAAATGCTCAACTTGATACTATTGTGTTTAAAACTCTGCAAAGTTAGGTCACGGAAAATAAAATGGGAAAAGGAAAAGTAACCAAAAACCCCCAAACCAACCTCAAACCAAAACAAGTCTCCTTTCTGCAGGTAAAATAAAAGGTGAAAAAATTGTTTAATGTTTAAAAAAAATTGTTTAAAACTGTTTAATAACTGTGAGCTTTACAGAACTCTTAACCAGATGAGCAGAATCAAACCAGAAGTCGCATCCCTGACAACTCACGGGCAGAACACGAGCCCTGTAGCTGAAGGAACAACCAAGAAAACCTGCGTCCCAAACATTTTGGCTGCAACACCAAAGATGCATTTCAGAAACCTGTTCTTCAAGGTTCTAAGGTTTCATTTGTAACAGCACTTTCTTTTTCTGGACAAATACTTACAATTCAAATTGTACAATGTTGCTTTGAGAAAGTGATAAGATTTATCAATGCAGTCTGAATACGGTAAGGTAATGGTCCACTTGTTGCAAACATTTCAAGAAAATTCACTTGATTCAGTGATGAAAACAACTCAAGTCTTTTCTAATCAGATCTAAGCACAGCCACAGCACACTCATTTTATTTGGGAATTCTTGTACTTGAGAAATGGTGCTCTACCTGCAAAACTTCAGTTCTACTGAGCAATGAATTAAATTTTTCATGCATTCTTGGCCAGCATACTTGAACTTTGTTCGCTAATCCATTTCCCATAAGATGCCCACAGGCATGCCAAGCCTCTAATGCAGCTTAAAAAAATCTATTTTAGAGCTGCCAGAGAAGTTTTCATCGTTTGCCACAAAAGTTCATGCTGGCCTCAGTTCCACAAAAGACAGAGAAACCTGATAGACGGCGGAGAACCCGGGAGCCCTTCATGAAGAGCTCTCCACCACTGAGCAACGCGAGAGCTACAGCGGTCGGTACACCTACTGCTGGAAGCTTAAAAGGCTCATAGCGATCTCACCACCACTGGTGCTATCAGGAAAAGAAGTATTATTAGGTAGTTTAGGGTTTAAAATCATATTGCCAGTCTAAAGGACATACATTTATCTAATTTTAACGAATCCACAGGTAAACTTGGAAAGTCTCTCTCCTCCACCCCAGCCTAACCACGCACAGAGAACTGAGGCTGCAAAAAGATTACCGTTGCTCCATACCTAACGTAGTCAATACAGGAAAAAAACTAGAATTCCTACAGAAACTAACCCTAACACTGCAAAACCCCTTGGGGGATGTGAAGTGTGACACAGAAAGGATGCTACTGGGATGATGTGCTGTACGTATTTTACAGGCTTCCTCATCATTTAGAATCATAGAGTCATTTAGGTTGGAAAAGACCTTTAAGACCATCAAGTCCAACCATTACTCTAACCCTGCCATCCCAGCCCCAAACCCTGGCCCTAAGCACCTCGTCTGCCCGGCTTTTAAACCCCTCCAGGGGTGAGGACTCGACCCCTTCCCTGGGCAGCCCCTTCCAGTGCTTGACAGCCCTTTTGGGGAAGACATTTTCCCCAGTACCCAACCTAACCCTGCCCTGGCACAACTTGAGGCCATTTCCCCTCATCCCATCACCCGTTCCCTGGGAGCAGAGCCCGACCCCCCCGGCTCCCCCCTCCTCTCAGGCAGTTGTAGGGAGCGATGAGGGCTCCCCTCAGTCTCCTCTTCTCCAGGCTGAACCCCCCCAGCTCCCCCAGCCGCTCCCCAGCAGCCTTGGGCTCCAGACCCCTCACCCCTCAAGGGAAGCTTCCTTGTCCTTCTCTGGACATGTTCCAGCAATGCTTGTGACTGGCTGCCAACTGGATTTAACTCTGTTCACCACAACTCTCTGGGCTCGGCCATCGAGCCAGTTTTTTACCCAGCGAAGAGTTCGCCTGTCTAAGCCATGAGCAGCCAGCTTCTCTAGGAGAATGCTTATTCAAGACTTTTCCCCTCTGATTAATGGGGTGACACTACAGCTACAGGCTAAAGTAGATGTGGCAAGGTAAGATGGGAGCTTCTGCTACATGAACAGTCCCCTAACAAACAGGTAACTGAGGGCTGCCTTGCTTTTCCCGCAAGGAAAGCGTACACGAACGCATTACATCTGGCTTGGGCATGTTCACACATGCTGCCATCCCAACTGACACAAACGAAATGACAAATGTCCACAGATTTTGCAAGCGGTAAGATCAATCTCAGCTCTACGGACTCCCATTGCTCTGAATATGCAGATGCATGAAAACACCGTAAAAAACCTTCCCATTTCCAAGCTGCTGATACAGACCCATTTTAGACAGCCATTTCTGTTCTAAACTAATTACAATGATTGTACTTTTTGCTGTTACTCTACTCCTCACACTCTTAGAACTCTGTGTTTTGATTACTATGGATGACCATTGCATACTTGAAAAGTGTGAGTATCCTTTATGCAGGGTCTCTTGGGAGGAAACTTTGCTTACATTCCTAAGTCCAGTTTGTTTAGATAAAACCACACTTACTTCATCTCTGTAAAGAGGACTTGTATAATACATGATATCCATGGCGCTGCTGTTCAGCATGTCCCTTAAACCGCGTACTTTATCTGGAGTAATGGAGTCCACAGTGTCTGGGGGGGAAAGAAAAAAAAAAAAAAAAAAAAAAAAAAAAAGACTTGAGTTACATGCAGGAGAATGATAAAATCCAAACAAGGCACCTGCAGAGAACACGGCGTGATCCTACAAAAATGCTCCGAGGGCTGGAGCCCCTCTGCTCTGAGGCCAGGCTGGGAGAATTGGGGGTGTTCAGCCTGGAGAAGAGAAGGCTGCGGGCAGAGCTGAGTGCGGCCGGTCAGGGCTTCAAGGGGGCCCAGAGGAAAGGGGGGGACAAGCTTTTTAGTAGGGCCAGCTGGGACAGGACAAGGGGGGATGGTTTTAAACTGAAGCAGGGTAGGTTTAGACTGGATCTAAGGCAGAAATTCTTTACAGTGAGGGTGGTGAAACCCTGGCAGGGGTTGCCCCGAGAGGGGGTGGAGGCCCCATCCCTGGCACCATTCCAGGCCAGGTTGGACGGGGCTGTGAGCAACCTGATGTGGTTAAAGGTGTCCCTGCTCCTGCAGGGGGGTTGGGCTGGGTGACCTCTAGGGGTCCCTTCCAACCCAAAACATTCTATGATTCTAAACTTCTGAGGACAATTTTGCCGACTGCAGCTACTGGAACAGCAAAAGCGCAAGTATCTTACCTCCATCGAGGGTCAGTTTTGATCTCCATTCAACCGGAAGAAATTCAACATGTGTTGCAAGATTGGAAAAATATTTTTCTTCTATTTTTCTTGCAGTATCTCGCATCCTATAAAAAAGAAGAAAAAGAACACGTTCCTGTAAAGACTGCTATTGGTGCTCTTATCAAATAAAGCCAATGCATCCAGCAACAACGCATTTCTTGCATTGCTACTTTTCAAGTATGCAGTGCATGCTTACTAACACGGGTAATTACCTCACCTCATGCTTTGGTTAGAAAGTACTTAAATTTCCATATAATGAAAAATTCTGCACATTACATACTAAAAAAAAAAAAAAAAGTTAAAAACCCCCTCTAAATGTATTATACTACGATCTTAACATAAGCCAACCAAATTAAATTGAAAAATGTGTTAACTCTGGTGGGTTGGGGGTAGAATGTGATCGGAAAATTAAGAATTAATCTGAAAATTAATTTTACCACTGCCTTGAAATCCTGAATCCACTGAAATCAACCATTTAGACAAGTGGGTAAGGAAGACAATTCAGTGCTTTTAAACACAAAGAAAACTATGAAAAATATTGCTTGAAAAGCCAGCATTTTATTTTAATTTCTCCGATCAAACTGGAAGGCTTGAGAGCTCTCAGAGGGAGAAATAGGAGCATTTATTAGCATTTCAACTTGCAGTGGCAGATGGACAGGGAAACTCTCCTTTTAAAAGATTTCTCATTTTTAAAGCATATCTGAACAGGAACATTTATGCACCTCTCTCAAGGGATGTGAGAAACTTGCAATACCTAAACCCTGAAGTATATCTGACTCTCTCTGTTGTTTGAGGGAAAAGGGGAATAATGGTATGGTATATTCTTTTAAAAATGCTACTTTACTTGTGTTGTGTGAAAGACCCATCCGTAAAAAATGAAAACCAGCATGAAATGATAGAAGATAGTAAAATATCCATGCATTCTATCAAAAACATTCAGCAACCAAACTGAGAAAGCGTTGTATTTTCCTTCCTCTCCTTTACATGAATCTCATCTCCCAATGGTATTAGCATTTTTGAAGGTGAGCACGACAAACTAAATCCAACCGAGGGGCAGCAGTGCTGGGTTTCCAGCAGTGGTTTCCCAGTTCCAAGTACCAGAGGGTTTTTTATTTCTGAGGCAAAACCTAGATTTTCAACGTGGGTTTTTTTTTCTTTTTTTTTTTTTTTCCCTATTTTCAAAGCAAACCCCTCTTAATGATTGCTACAACCACAGGCACGATGACAGCAAGCTCCCATCCGTACTTCTACCAGTCCAAATGCAGTTTAGTAAGTTTAACCCCGTAGCTGAGACACTTTCCTTGAATATATTAATGCTCCTCTGTTGTCCTTCAACAGAAATGAGACAGTTGAGCCCAAATCACTACCAGCACCCGAGACAGTAATTGCTTAAGCTGCTCCATTTGATGAGCAGAACACTGTCTGCACCCACATGGCGATCCCCTATAGACAACTGCTCAACTCACAGAATCCCAGAATGGCAGGGGTTGGAAGGGACCTCAGGAGATCACCCAGCCCAACCTCCCTGCTCAAGCAGGCTCACCCAGAGCATGTGGCACAGGACTTGGTCCAGGCAGGGGTTGAATATCTCCAGAGAAGGAGACTCCATAGCCCCCCTGGGCAGCCTGGGCCAGGGCTCAGGCACCCTCAAAGTGAAGAAGTTCTTCCTCATATTCAACTGGAACCTCTTCTGTTTCAGTTTGTGCCCATTGCCCCTTGTCCTGGCGCTGGGCACCACTGAGGCTGCGGGCTGACCTGCTGGGAAGCAGCTCTGCTGAGAGGGACCTGGGAGTCCTGGTGGACGACAAGCTGACCACGAGCCAGCAGGGTGCCCTGGTTGCCCAGAAGGCCAATGGCATCCTGGGGTGCATTGAGAGGAGCGTGGCCAGCAGGGCGAGGGAGGTTCTCCTCCCCCTCTGCTCTGCCCTGCTGAGACCCCACCTGGAGCACTGGGTCCAGTTCTGGGCTCCCCGGTTCAAGAAAGATGAGGAACTCCTAGAGAGAGTCCAGAGGAGGGCAACAAGGATGATGGGGGGACTGGAGCATCTCCCCTATGAGGAAAGGCTGAGAGAGCTGGGCTGATTTTCAGCCCCCTTTAAAACAAAGTCAGCCATACACCGCGGGTAGCTGCAAGATGAAGTCAGGAGCTGCTCCAATGTCCCCCACAAGGTTTGCCACCAGAGGTGACAATACAGACCGAAAGGAAAAAGTATGGACAGAAATTTGTTCTTAATCTCCCTGAGTAGCCGTTGTGGCATCAGGACACAGCTCGCTAGCAGGATTCGGGCTGGAGGCAGATGTGTCTGGTGGAACAAATGCAGAGATGAGTTTCAGGCATCACCTTCAGCTGCTGAGGGCTGCGGAGAGACGTCACGTGGCTTTGGCCAAAACACCTTCTATGTTTTTACTTCAGCCTTATCAGCTGCACAGCAAGAGGGAAACACACTTCACTGAGGAAGGGGTATGAGAGCCAATGCCTTGCAAAAACATTTTCCACAAGGATAATTAATTATTCTTTACCATGTTTTTTCCCAGGAAAAGGAAAAGCACATTATGCGACTAAAAAGCAGATCAACGATGTACCAAATTTTTGAAGCAGGCAGTCAAAATGCTTTTCCATAAGTGACACCTCCTTTCTGATAAAGGAAAGGGAAGGAAAGGAAAGGAAGAAAGGGGAGCATCCTTTACGCGCCTTCTTCCAAAGCAGTTACTGATGGCCTGACCAAACAGCCCAGAAATGCAACTAATTAGCGCCTCTCCTTTTAAAGCCTGGTTTGATTGCACTCCTAATCTCCTCACATCTAGTCCAACGAGATGACAAAGGTTTAAGGGAAGCAGAATGTCTTCCCACAATGAGGAAAGAAAACAAAAAATCACTAAGAGGCCAGGCTGAGAGAGTTGGGGTTGTTCAGCCTGGAGAAGAGAAGGCTGCGGGCAGAGCTGAGTGCGGCCGGTCAGGGCTTAAAGGGGGCCCAGAGGAAAGGGGGGATTTTTAGTAGGGCCAGCTCGGTCAGGACAAGGGGGGATGGCTTTAAACTGAAGCAGGGTAGGGTTAGACTGGATCTAAGGCAGAAATTCTTTACAATGAAGGTGGGGAAACCCTGGCAGGGGTTGCCCCAAGAGGTGGTGGAGGCCCCATCCCTGGGAACATTCCAGGCCAGGTTGGACGGGGCTGTGAGCAACCTGATGTGGTTCAAGGTGTCCCTGCTCCTGCAGGGGGGTTGGGCTGGGTGACCTCTAGGGGTCCCTTCCAACCCAAACCATTCTATGATTCTATGAGGATCTGCTTAAATCAGGCTTGATTTAAAGTCTGAACAGACCTGGCCTTGCAAAGCACAAACCAACCCTCCCCACCACCACCTCTAAGGACACTTATTTGAGAGCCCAACTTCAGCCAGCTGGAATTTCTAGATTATCAAGAAGATAAAAATTCAGTAAACACATTAACATTCCTGGAGTCCCTGAGCAACCAAAACAAAGGAGAAACAACACCTGTCTGAACAAAATCAGAGGATTACTAGCACAAGGAAATGTAGGGACCTAAAATCTAAATGACTTTTCTTTGGAAATGCTAACAATTCATTGGTATTGTCAAGTCAGCTTAACTTGCTCTGCATGAAGGAGGATGGTGGCCAGCTAAGACCAATTCAGAAGCAGTAAGTTTAGCAGGAAACCAGCCAATCTACAGCTGCTATTCTTAAAAGCAGTAAAAGCATCGAAACGGTGTATGAATAAAGCACAGAATTCTACACAGCAACTTTAAGTGAAGGAACTGGTAAATAACCTGGTCCTAACAGTGCAAGAAAAAACATCCAAACTATTTACACATCGGTAGCAGCTGTAAACACTATGAAGAAATAGCTGTTGGAGCTATTCCCATCCCCACCTTCAAATACCACAGCTACAGGGTTTGTTCCTGTTCAAAAGGGTCCAGGACTTACTCAAGCTATTCAAAGGCAAACTGACACAGAGGATTTTTTTAACTAAAAGTCTCCTTTCTAACGCTAGGTATATGAGTTTGGAAAAAAAACAGTGCAGCCTATCAATTCTGCCAAAGCTTTTGGGAAAAGCTTCAAGTCTCCCCTCCTAAAAGCTGTGCCAGCTTTGTGTCCTTACCCAAAATTTTGTGAAATGCAAAATCTAATTTTACTGGGATCTGGAGGGTTCCCCGCAATGTCAGCTGAGGTTGTGCAGATATAGTCTGGCCTCCAGCAGAATAGCCCCAAACTTCTGCTAGAAAGGGTTATTGACAAACATTCAAAAGCGTTCGGGTGCGTTAGAAAACCCAAACCCAACTCTGTGTGCATCTCCCTTACGCCTGGCAAAATGCATTCTGGTAGAAGTGCACAAAAGGTCCGTTTCAACAAATTTTTGTTATCTTCCATCTCACCTTTGATGTCAAATCAAGGAAGCAGCAATTGCACTTCTCAGTGGTTCAAGTGTGCTCCTCGGCTATGCTGGCCTGCCTTGCACACTTACCTTATGAAGCTGGTTAACACTGCAAACTACTGACCGGAGTTTTGCAGATTACAAACTACATAGTTAGGAAAACATTTAATTTTTTGTCTCCCACTAAACTTTCTGAGGCAATCCAGTCTGGTGTTACTAGCCAAATACTGTCAGAGGTGCAATTAGTCTCTCTCCTGTTCTTTCCCAGCAGCAATGTCCCACCAATCTCCCGATCACAAGAATCATGGAGGCATTAAAACACACCAGGAGAACAATTCCCAACGCAACACATCTCATTTATGGCAAATGGCACTATACGACATCTCCCACTGATTTTGATCAACAATTTTGTATTATAAATTCTAATAAATATTGCGGTGTAATTGCCAAGCAATGTCGCTACGCTCACATGCAAAACCCCGGAATATATACCTGCGCTTATCTGGTCTGCTATAAAGTCTTTTTTTTTTTTTTCATTCTTCTGGATTTTTAAAAAGAAATATTTCAAGCTATTTTATTAGATAGCAACTCCCTCTACTCACTTGCTAAATTAACACCAACTGAAGTAATAAATCCTCATTTAAACAAGCAGAGAATTCTTCTCCTTTCCAATACA